TTACTCCTGATATCCTTCCCCAGATACTACACCCCCCCCCATAAGTAGATAAGGGATGAGGGTTTAGGGTTTAGCGTTGGGAGGAAAAACAACTTATTAAAAATAGAAGCCTAAAACACAATCCAAGGCTATAGAGCACTACAGGGCATAGAAAGGTAAGTCTAGGGTCATAGACAAGGGCGCAGATGAAGGCCGATCTAGCTCTACCAGTAATCCACACAGTTCTGACAGCCATACAGCTGAGAGGAAAAGGTAGAGTCAGCCCACATAGACAGGCCTTCAGCAACTACATGACAGGTCCACAAATCCGGAAGGCCATCCAAGCCTAAGAGTACGTCAAGCAGGCTAACTTAGGCAGGGGTGAAGGGTGGTACATCCTTCCTTGGGAGGTAATCAATGCCGTCTTTCGGGCCTTCCTACCATAAGGGGGAGGAGCGTGTGTGAGTACCCATTGTAATTATTTCTGACTTGTCGGTGGAATAGGAACCGGACTGGTGCTCCCCAGAATGGAAAAGGAGCCAGAACCGTAAGGTTCTGTTTTGCTGAAAAAAAAATTTAAAAAAATGGGGCCCAGTGCCCAAGGCTCATATTAACCTATGAAATACAACCAGAAAAAAACGCCTCTTCCCATTAGGGCTGGAAAAGCCTTCGCCACTGCTCCCATAGAGACAGCTTCCCTGTTATAAATGCTAGTCCTATCTTCTTCTGAGAATTTTAACCATAGCTAGATCTGCCTCTTCAGCCCTTCTCTTGGGCCGCCTGTTGCTGTCCATAATACCTAGCAGTCTAGCTACTCTCTTGAACCCACCACCGTTCCCTATCTTTCAAGGCTTCCCCCTTTTTATCGTTCTACATTTCCATCACTCTCCCCCATACCATGCCTTGCTTACTAAACTATTTTCAAGGGGGGGGGGAAAGTCTGGGAACAGGTCACTTGGCCGCATTGGAGTTGCGTAATCTAGCTTGGTCCAATCATTGAAGAGAAGTTTGTAGTCTCCTTGTTATCCAGCACCCCCTCCTGCCCCCCTTTTTCCCCTTTCCATTCCACCTTCCCCAAACTCCCCCCGTTTCGCCCCCCGAGCCATTCTTTACAGAATACTTGTATCTTTTGCTTTATTTCGTTCTGAGTATGGATGTATTTGATCTGTGTTTTGACTTCCTCCCACCATGCTGTTATATTTGTCTGGATCTGTTGTTGTATGCTCTCCGTAAATTCTGGTCCTTCTAACCTCACACTCTCCATTTCATAGGTGCAGCGGCGCCTCCATAGTGCCCACGGTACTGCCCTGCGTCCTTGCTTGAACATGTTGAAAGTGAAGTCGTCAGGCTGTTCCGAGGGCCATTTTTCAAACAGCAAGGCTTTCCAGTCCCATGACCAGGGCGACCCTGTTCCAAGCTGGTTTCAGACTCTATCCCACCATCGCCAGAGCCAGACCGCTCCGGGACATTGAAGAAAAACGTGCTCTATTGTCTCTGGTCTCTTCCTCGATGGGAATGCGCTCGAGCATCATCTACACCAGAGGAGGGTGAGTCCTTTCTGTTCAAGGTTGGTCCTATCTATCAACCAGTTATTGGTTGGTAGGCACCTGTGTTCCATTTGCCATTGCAGAGAGGCCAGATTGGCAGGTTTCCTTTTGGTTAATTGGAACCATTTAACGTTTTTCAGCGATTCTTTGCTAATGTTCAATTGTTCCATCCATCTCGCTTCCACCAGGTTCCATAGATTGAGTTTTGGTCGGAGCAGTCTGTATGTTGCTTTAACAGTAATGATGTACAACATTTTAGTATTGGTTCTGCCCCCACCACTTGCATTCGTCCACACCCACTCCAGAGGGTCTAGGGGCAGTTGAGTTATCGGCGTGTCTGGGGAGAACGCCACCCATATGTCCACCCACAGAACTCTGATTCTTGAGAGTTTGTCCTTTCCGACAAATTGTATCTGTTCAGGATTGGTCTTTTGGAGTGAGTTATCCTTACCTATTGTAAACGTATCTACCACTACTAGTCCCTTTGGGTCGCAGCACACCACATTGCCCACCTTGTTATGACCCTGGCCAATTTCGAGCTACGCATCCACTGGAAAGCACAATGCCATCCAATTGCAAAAAGAAATGAATGAACTTGAGAGGAGAGAGAGGAGTAGAAGAAGAAGAAATAAGAAAGAAGAAGAAGAAGATGTACATCAGCAAAGACAATGACAAGGCTCTTCTTCTTCGCCCAACAATCTCCTCCTCCTTATCTCCCCCTTCTCTTATTCATACAAGGAATAATGATACAATGTTGAATGACTGGTCCAGAATCATGTCTGAGTCCCTCTTCTACTGCAGGTATCACTCAAGGTCCACCATAGCCATGGCCGCCTCTCCCACTCTTCACTCTCATAGGCCGAGGCTATGGCGGACTACTAGGCCTTGGTCAGATGTCCAAAGGACAACCCAGAACAGCTATGGCTGCTCCAGCTCAGGCCGCCATGCCCAGCCCTGCCTTGAAGCTTCTTGGTGTGACTCCCCCCGGCTGGGGACTCCTTGCTGCAGCGCCCACCAAGGTGATGAAGATGGCTGCCACCATAGCCAGGTAAGTACCCCTGGCGCTCCTCCCCCTTCCTTCCTCCTTCCTCCTTCCTCCTTCTTCCTCCCTCATGTCCTTCTTCTTCCTCCCCAATAGCGCAGCTCCAGCCCAGCGCTGCTCCCTCCAGCGCTCCACCAGTGTGTCGCCAAACTTGCACACCGAAAAAGAGGCTGGGCCCCGCTAGACCTAGCCTACACTACCGGCCTCTAAAAATGCCACTTTTGTCTTCTTCTGCTCGGCCTCCGGTACCTGCATATTTACCCCCCTGGCAGGTGTGGTACCGGCCTACCCGCTACTTGAGTGCTTTTTCCGCGCTGCAACCCTTCAAAGCCAAGGCCACAGGTAAGTACCGGCCTTGGGGGCCCAACGAACGAACAAGTGCCCTGGCGGGCCACACACACACACCCATACCAACCCGCACTCAGACAGTCACAGTCACACACACGCAAGTCAACCAGCACTCAGACAGACATGCAGTCCACACACACACACAGACTTAGCAGGCGAGGAACTCAGTAGGGCATTCAGTCTATGAGCAAAACTCAGAAATCAGCTGTGTGTTTCAGTCCGTGTTTGGACGGGTTATCACACTACCCCCCCCTCAAGAGCGAGGTCCCTTCGAGCGAGTAACTCATTCTGAGTCCTCGGTAAACGCATCGTAAGCGAGCAAGGCAAAGAGATTGTTGGAATACTCTATCGCAGTGAGCCTTGCTGAGATCTTTGGTGCGGCGTTAGCAGCGATTTGTGGCTCGTAGGCTTTGACAACGCGCGGTGCACTGGGTAGCAGTTCCTGCTTGCAGATCCAGTACAGATCGTTTAACGGGTGATACATAAAATGAACCTGGTACTGTCTGTTTCTTCCCTTACCTACATGCTGTTTGATTCTATCTATCTTGTGCCCTCCCTTGATTGCGCGAGGGATCATATCTTCGCGGTAATCGAACGTCTCTGCATCACGGTGGAGGTACAGTTTAGATGCATGGAACACAGGATATGTGCGCAGGTGAGCTGGCACATCTACAACGTACGAAGGGCCAAAGTGATCTTCCCCAATTACATCCAAAACTTCCCAAGGCCCGTAGTAGAGTGGGAAGAGTTTGCGTGAGACTCCCTCCTCCTCTGAGAATTCAGACATCTTTACCCAGACAAAGCTTCCTACCTGAATCTCCGATGGTCGTCATTTTTTGTTTGCATGGTGGATCATGGCATGCTGTCGCTTGGTCATAGCTGCAACAGCAACTTTGAGCAAGCGATCATACTTAGCCCTGAAGCCGGGCCTGCCAGGTGTTAAGCCAGCTGGCTGCTCAGGGAATAAGTAGGAGAGCGGATTACGGATCTGCCAACCGTAGTGCAACCTGTTGGGTGTCATGGCAGTGGCAGAATGGACGGAGTTGTTGTACAACCCCTTGACATAATACAGTTCCTCATCCCATGTCTCCTGGTCCGGAATAATCAACGCGCGGAGAAGTTGGAATACAGTCTGGTTGATCTCCTCAGCCAAACCGTTGGCTTCGGGGTGTCGGTCAGACGTCATGCACAGTTTGATTCCTAGGTGAGACGTGAAATCCTTCCATTCAGTGCTAATGAAACGCGGGTCCCGATCGCTCACAAGAGTCATTGGGGCTCCGAATTGCAGCAGGTATTTCTGTTGGAATTCGCGAATCACTAGATCTGTTGGGACGTGGGGTGGTAAGGGAATCAGATTAAGAAATTTTGAGAATCGGTCAACAATCACCATGACTTGTGAATACCCGTTTTTGCTTACCTTACCCATATCAGTGAAATCGATGGAGACAGACTCCCCGGGACCATCAGGAATGGGTAGGGAAGTGAGTAGCCCCATGGGCTTTTGTCTGCATGGTTTGATTCGTTGACAGACTTCACATTCAGCCACAAATTTCTCAGCAGTCCCTTTCATGCCAGACCAATCAAACTGTCTCAACAAATTAACGTACGTTTTTGCCATGCCGAAGTGCCCACTCCGGCCATGAGCCAAATCCAGAAAGTGTGTGCGGAGAGGCTCATGGTTGGGTACACACAAACGGTCATGGTTCCCGTAGCGACAAAAAATCAGTCCTCCAAACTCGTGGAAATCAGGCTGACTGCTAGGATCAGCCCGCAGCTGCTCAAGGACGGAACTAAGTTCCGGATCCTTGGTTGCCTGCTCTACGAGCTCCTCCTTCAGTTTCTTCCGGAGGTTGTAGGATTTCACAAGGCAAGTCATGTACTCAGGGTGGCGAGACAATGCGTCAGCGACTCGATTATAAGAACCTTTTTTGGGTCTTAATTCGAAATCAAAGATGTCAATCTGATGGAACCAGCAAAGCAAACTAGGGGACAGAGTAGTCTGCTGTTTGATCCACTTCAAGGTCTCATGATCTCAGAAGACTTTGAAGTGGCGTCCCAAAAGGTAATGTTTCTAGTGATCCAACGCCATACGCAAAGCGTAGAGCTCGCGCATGTAGGTGGAAGTGGCTACCTTTACGCTGGGCATTCGTTTGCTGTAGAACTTGAGTGGCCGCCGGCCATCGCCGTCATCTTGTTGCAGCACTGCACCGATTCCATACTGACTTGCATCCGTAGTAACTACGAAGGTCAGTTTGGGATCTACAATGCGAAGTACCGAGTAACTTACCAAGGCTTCCTTGAGAGTTCGAAAAGCTTCCGTACACACGGCATCCGAGGAATAAGACACATTTTTATTGGTTAGTCGCGACAACGGACGAGCAATGATAGAAAAACGGGGTACAAACTTCCGATAGTACGACGTGAGACCAAGGAAAGAACGCAATTCGAGTATGTTCGCCGACTGAGGCCAATCACGTATGACCTCAATCTTAGTTGCCTCAGGCTCTAGGTCTGCAGCAGACAACCGGTGCCCAAGATAGATGACGCTATCCTTCCCAAACTTTGATTTCTCCAAGTTGAGATGGAGCTGCGTCTTCTTGAGGATAGCGAGCACCTCCTCAAGATGCTTGAGGTGTTCCTCCATGGACTTGCTGAAGATCATAATATCATTCAGGTACACTACCACAAACCGGCCAATCTGTTCGCGGAGGACCTTGTCCATGAGGCTTTGGAAAGTGGCTGGTGCGTTCGTAAGACCGAAGGGCATTACGGTGAACTCATAAAGCCCGTCGCGTGTTTTGAACGCAGTCTTGTGCTGGTCCGCAGGATCGACTTCAATCTGGTGGTAGCCAGACTTGAGATCGATCTTGGAGAAGACCTTGCACCCGCCTGCAACATCAAGCAAGTCGTCTATACGACGCAATGGATAAACATTCTTTCTCGTGATGCGGTTTAGACCGCGATAGTCAATACACATGCGGAGTTTACCTCCTTTCTTTGGCACAAACAACACAGGAGCACCAAATTCAAATTCACTTGGTTTGATCCACCCTTTGTCAATCATCTCATCGATCTGTCGTCGGAGTTCCTCCAACTCGCCGGGTCCCATACGGTACACGCACCCCTTTGGAGGAACAACACCCTCGACCAACTCGATGGTGTGTCGAACCGGTCGCGTGGGGACTCCACGGGGCTCGGCCAAGACTTCCGGAAACCGATCGAGGAGGGCTTGGATGTCTGATGGGACAGGTGGGGGTGGGGAATCAGCAAAGGGATCACCAAGGTCCGGTCGCAAGTCGCGTATAGAGACGACCGAATCTGAAGTAGGATCATTTGGACTATTAGAGGGTAGAGAGGTAGAGGTGCTAGTAGTAGAAGTAGTAGAAGTACTAGAAGTAGGATCGTTAATCAAAGTAGTAGTGGTACTAGCCGCAAAAGTAGAAGGCACATGAGCAGGACGAACAAAGGCAACATACAACTGTTCGTCCTCTTTGTGCTTGCGCCACTTCTTGCAGAACTTCAATGCATTTAGAAAAGTCACTTGGGACTTGTGCTTCTTATCCAAGAGGACAGGAAGTTCGTTCCCTCGAGCATCTTTGACCATGAAGAGTGACTCCGTCCACTTGGTCCATTCGCATTGGGACTGCAGCCAGCCCAAGCCAAGGACAGCGTCGAAGGGGCACTTGTCAAGGACAAAGAAGTTCAGTGCRTGGGTGACAGTCTTACCTCTGTCAAAGGTAGTGCGCACACCTTTGACTACATGTGTAGAAGAGACAACTTCCTTGTTGCCAACTTGGGTCCGRCAAGGGTTCTGCAGGGCCACTTGCTTCATCCCCAAGCCCACCTTGCGTATCCCATGTGGTGACATGAAATTAGCTGTAGCACCACAGTCAACCAGCACACGGAGATAGCGGTGGTTTATGAGAAGTTTAAAGAAAATCAACTTCATTGTCCCTTGGGCACGCTGCTGTTTCATCTCAGCCTAATGCCCCAAGTGGTAGTGGAAGTCAACCATCTCAGACTCCTCCCAAGGCTCGACATACAATACATCACTTACCTCAGCCTTGTCTTCAGCAGACGGTTGGGCTTCAAGGGAGGGCTGCTGATTTCATCAGAACCTGACTCCCCTGCTATAGAGTTTGCTGAATCTGACTCTACGCCCGGTTCTGGTTTCCCTGCAGCCTATAACAGTCCTGAACCTTATGATTTTGCTTTTGGCAATGCAGGCAAACCCCTTTCTTGAGTCTGTCCCGCCAGTCATTCTCAGTGATCCGGAGGTCAACCAAAGGTTTGGTAGTTGCATCCTCCGATTTAGGCGGGATCTTAACTCCTTTGGGAAGTTGGACGTCACTTTTCCCGGCACTCCGATTCGGTCCCTTAGTGCTGGCAGTCTTTTTAAAGGCATAAAAATTTTCTTCTTCTTTATTTGCGTCGGACTCATGGGCTGAAGAACAAGCTGTATCGGAGTCCTGTTCTTGGTCGTCACCAAGAGTGGGGTCATCCGCATCGGCCTCTTCTTCGGCCTCCAGCACCCTTGAACCGTTTGCCGCCCATGGGCTTTTTGCTGCCTGCCGTGCTAACGAGGTCCATAGCCTCCAGACTGACTACGTCCTTCATTAAGGTGAGCAAGTCAGTGTATGCAATGTAGTCCCTGCCCAGGCGACTAGTGAAGTTAGTTGGAACCGCGCCCTTAACCACATCCAAGCAAGATTGAGCGGACAATTTCAAACCAGGAGTGGCAAACATCTTGCTTAGATAGGTCTGCAGGCTTTTCATGGAGCCATTCCACTTGCTGTGCTTTACTTTGTCAAGTTGAATCCTTACTTTAGCAGCAACATGTGGGTCTTGGTATTGTGAGATAAGGAGATCTTCGAGGGAGGCAACCGGGGTGGTCCTTAGCCATTTGGCTAGTGCAGCCTTTGGGAACCCAGCCCGCGTCGCTTGGACTTCTAGGAAGCCCCGTACGACCGGCTCGGCATTCATTCCCATGATTACCGCCTGGGTCTCAGTTTGAGTCCCCAGAATCTCAAAGTAGGCCCTCATGGAGCCGATCCAGGACTCAATGTCTTCTTTGTCGTCGTACTTGGACGGTATTTGAACCGCCTTTCGGTCCACATAGGGACCAGCGTGGCTGGGACCAGCAGCAGCTGGTTCCGGTCTTGGGGCTGCAGCAGTTGCAGAAGTTCCAGCCTCATTGCTTGTTACAGTAACAGTGGAATCTCCACCTGCTGCAGGTCCCGAGGGGGTTGCCAACACACTCGAAGAAGAGGTAGAAGAAGATACAGTAAGAGGGGCAGAGGTAGTTTCGATTGCAGCTTCAGCTCCAGGAGGTAGAGGAAGAGGGTTGGCCACTTGGGCCTGTCGCAGGTCAACCACCTCCTTTGTCAATTCATGGTACTTGAGGGTCATCTCAGTCAGATCATCTTGAAGTGTCTGCAGCTTTGCAAAGACTTCAGCGATCTGAAAGGTATGGTCCTCAAGATTCCTAATCCGAACAAAGGCTGTGAGGATGGACTGCAGTTGTTCCCCGCACTGCTCTTCAGTCAGTGAGGGAACAGTCTCTAGGAGAGCTACTTGCCTTCTCAGCAAGGTCTCCTTCCTCTCCTTCTCTGACTCCTATTCTCGTTTTATTGCACCATCTAATAGTGCTTGCAGATGAGGTTTCTCAGCATCACTGGCTGCATCTAACAAGGCCTGCCATTGCAATGAAGTTAGCTGGGCCATTTTTGGACTGTCAGTATGGACAGGTGGGGCAGAGAGTCGCGAGTCAGCAAAAGAATCAATCAGACTCTCCAGAGGTTCACTCCCCCTCCCACTTGGACGAACACTCCTTTTCCCAGTCCTTGCCCATTTCAGACAATCACTTTCCCTCTCTCCCTGTTCTCTCTCCTTCCTCTCTCTCTCTTCTTTCAAGTTGCGAGTCTCCACGGGCATCGGAAATGAACTCAGAAAAACAAACTGGAAAGCTCAGAGAAGAGAAGGTAGAACTCCTAGTCGGAGCGGCATTTCATTTGGAAGCAGAGAACAACAAAAGAAGCAGTCGAACTCAAAGAGAGGTCTGATCCAGCGACCCAGTCTGATCAGACTGCATACGAGGTCCTCTCGAGTCCAGTCTGACCAGCTCCGTGTCCGTACAGCAAATCAGACAACGAGTAACTAAATGCAACAATGGAGAATTGAGTGGTGTACAGGGTGCGAGTCAAGCCACGGATGGTGCAATCAGAATACAAGCGAAACGTCAAAGCCAAGATCCCCTCGGCAGTGGGTGTCCTAATCCAAGAA